AAACTCGATTCCGCTTATGAAAAGATGTCTTCAGGTGTCTTCTTTCTAATGCTGAAAACCGCACGTCTTTATCTGTCTCCTGTAAAACGTTATTCAAAAAGTGGCTCACTGTCTTGTATTTTGGAACCCATAGTCGTTTTGATCATTAGGGAAAAAAGATACGTATGCAAAAAAAGATTTGAATCTACAATTGAAGATTACATGTTATTAGTAGCATCAACCAATCAAGACGTATTACTTACCATTTCAGTTATTTACTTAACACATATTATCGCATCTAAGATCCACGAGAGCACATTGTTTCAACTCCATCGGTGCTTCATATGTATGTGCTGTTTGATCAATACTTTCGTCCACATTGTCTGATAAATTACTACCTCTGCTAGGTAAGGTCCATCGATTAATCGATTTGTTTTCTTCTGTACTAAATAGTTTTATCTCTAACAAGCGTTTTCTAAATTGATCATGTGATAAGCTTTCCCAATTACGAATATCAAGTAAAAACTCAGCTTCTGCTAACCCAATTGATTCATTTAATAAACCCGAATAAACCATCTTCTAACTGCCAACCACCTTCAGCTATTTTGATATTGCCGCGTGAGACAATTTTTGTAGGTGGATATGGGTCATTATACCAAAGCTGAATCCTACTTTCAAATGATGTTAAATGTATTACCTAAAAATCATAAAGATCGAGCATCGATTTACGATCATATTGGCGATCTACATATGCATACAACAAATTGGAATGAAGCATTTAAATGCTTCTCGCAGGCTTATGACATAAAAAGGAAATGTTGTCATCATCGATATCTGAGTGAAACATTAAATAACATTGGAAATTATTATAAAGCTATCGGATACTTTGATAGGGCATGCAGCTTTTATGAAAACGCATTAAATTGCGAAAAAACTGAATGTGCATACATAAACGACAGGATTGTTTTCTCGGAAACGTACCAGACTTTACAGCGACATCATCCCAACACGATGAAACTTTCAGAACTAGTAAAACTCAACATTCTAAGCATAACTGTCACTTCGAAAAATTTTTAAAATGCTATGTCGGGACGGC